AAATACGAAAAAAATACCTAGAACATATTTAAAACCAAATAAATGTGTGTAACATGTTGCCCCCGCCCCCAAAAAATATTAAAACACATAATAATAAACTAAAAATCGAGTATCTACGAAGTAAAAGGCCAGGGACATGAAAATTTTAAATTTTCACTCAGTAGTGTCACATATCCTAGTGGGAAAATCAACCATGTATCTAAAACCATGGCTTCTTAATAAATTAGTAAATTCCCTAGTTACATTGTTGTTATATAAAATGTTTATGTTAAAATCTCCTGCCTTTATAATATAATCACATTTTTTATTAATACTTAAAACTAAAATATTCAATCTCTTTATAAAGTCAAAATCAGAACCAGGAGACCGATAGATCCCTATAACAATAAATGTGAATGAATTAAAGGTAAATTTAGCTGTACAGAACTCAGATATCTTGTCTTCACATAAATCGAACTTTGAATATGATTCTTAGACATAATCATAACTCCTCCCCTGGCAGAGGATTTCCTACAATAAGAGGCATTTATTGTGAAACCATCAATCTTAAAGCTAGTTATTTCATGGTCTTTAATATTATGCTCAGAGAGCTAAGGATAAACTTCAGACAATGTGACTTCCAACGATTCAAGTCTGTTTATAACTCATTTTGTATATTTTGATGAAAAATCTTTACTACATTGTGGTCAACTTTACCCAGACTATTGATAGAATTTTTTGGGGGGCCAAAACGTTTAAAACTATTTAGGTTATTGTTTAAATGATTACAAGTTTTTCCCAAAGTAAGATTAGGCAAATTAGCAGATTCATTACCGGTACCTTTGTCACCTTTATCAGATTTTGGATAAGAATACACTGCCCATTATCAAACACATCAGTCATGTTAGGTATTATTGGCCAGCAAACCGTAAATTTAAGTAACTTGCAAATTTATGGAGAAAGTGGCGCAAAATTGTTGTAACTACAAAATTTCTAAAAAAATGTTACATAATGATATATTAATTAAAATTCACAGAAACCCCTCGAATAACACCATTTTCAAGCACATTTCCCAGTTTTTTCACGACGGTTAGAATTGACACACAATTCCCGATTTTCCTGGGATGCCTGGTCGCTGAAACCCTGAACCTAGTTTAACCAAATGAAACAAACTAAGCATAATCAATAGCTCTTTCTCTAGTTATATAACTAAAGAGTAAATCACTAATCATGAAATTAACCCTAAAATAATGAAAAAAATGTCTACTATAATGGTTGTTCCTACTACATAATTTTCAAAGATATGATTGGTTTTCATACTCGCGATTATTCGAGCCTCACTTATCCAACCACCCCTCGCTCGGGTAAACAAAACACAACCTCATAGTCATAATGATTAAAATGACGAAAAAAGTTGATATTCAAGTGGAACAAAACTAATAACATTTAGAACTACTTGGATTTTGGCTACAATATCTTACTTGTGCTGGTCTGGGGGCCATCCCTGGGGGAGGGCCAGCATGGGCTGGTTGAGGTGCCGGTGGAGCCTGTTGAGTTGGAGTCTTTGCTCGACCTCGGGCACGCCCCCCTCGGGCTGCTGCTCGATCTGCCATTGCTGAAAAAATAACACAACTGTTTATAAAAGAAAACGCCAAGTAAATTTTATATAACTTTAAAACTAAGAAAGGATTCACAGTTTATTCAGTCATATTGGCATATATCTTCTATGTCACTGATTAGGACTCAATGGTCTAAGGCCTCGCAAAGGCAGTGATGTGGACCGGGTAAATACCTGATGAGAAGTTAAATAAAAATTAGGTATTTACAGTAGTCGCATTTAGTCTGGGCCCGCAGCCGCGCTATGGCACAGGGTGTAGGGGGGAGTGTTTATTGCTCATTTCTAAAAACATCTGTCCTACACGGCTCTGCGGTTGTTCAGCTGCCTTCATGGCTAGGCGTGGTGAAGGGGTGGGTGGAATGTACACAGGACGGCTAGTAGACGAAACCACAAGCACAGACTGCTTGCGCTTACTGAACCCAACGGTCATTTAAATAACCAAAATGATGGTATTCTTAATTTTTGACCCTTCTAACACTTTATGATGCTTTAATGAAGTGTTGGGAAAATCCTAGCTTAGTTTCTGAAAATTGCTAGCTGCCAACGATACACAAAGAGTAAGTAGTGTTCGCAAAACATCGAATGCCGCTCTGCCGAAGTGTCCGTGGCACCGAATCTCGGGTTGCCGAAGTGTTCGGGTGAAATCTGGATTAACACTTCATAACTTTTTTTAGAAATTGTTAGCGGAATGAGCTAGAAACTAATATAATATTGTTCGGGACAATATAGAGAATAGAATTATAGCAATAATAATCTTGTTGGCGATGTGTATAAAATGATAAATGTCTTAGTCGGACAAAAAAATTTTTTCCCCTAAAGGGAGACGTTGGTATTACTGCCGATGACATCATGATAGCTGATGTAGTCATAAATGAATATTCAGTTGTTGAGCTAGTGTTATTACGTTGCTTTAGAAGAAAAAATCTTTGTGATAGCCTATGTGTTAAGGTAAGGTTATAGGCCTAGTTCGGATTTTAGAAATCTTTAACAGTCTGTCCCGGTCAACCCCCCCAGTCCAGGTCTAGCCAGTTTAACGGTACTTTTTTTATGCGGTATCTAATGTTTTAACCGACATTCTTATGTCCTGAAACAGCGTAGCAGTAGCCTATGACTAGCAGTAGCTTACTGGACTTTCTAATGTTCTGTTCATTATTTTGCTGTACAATGTATTGTAATTTTTTTGTTTGACTAAAAGATTGAAAAAGCAGTGATTTTAAACATTACAGTTTTTATTACTAAACCAAGGGTAAAGACATAACAGAATTATAATGATTGCGCAATAACCTACTAAGTAGTAAGTACTAAGTACTTAATTGTATTTTTATGATTTGCAATTTATTACATTTAACATCCATTGAGTTTATTTGTTGGAAATAACTGTTTATGTCATTTTGGATTAACCGTGGTCTGTTCAAAATACAGTTTTACCAAGTTTTAATGTCAATAAACACGTTCCTCTGATAATCCGACCTTTTTGCTGTTCCGACCATGCTCCCGGTCCCATAGGGGAGGGATTAGCTTTCAGACATTTTAGTTGATAATAAGTTAAACCAATGTCTGGTAGGCATATTGTGAAGGTTTGGTTTTAGGCTTGGTTGGCAAGTAAAAGTATAACTATTATTCAATAAATTAAGATCAATATTTCGGCTAATGGCAGGGGATGTTGCTATGGGCTACTATCGATGCCAGTAAAATTACTTGGGTATTTCTTATCGATACTTTTATTACGATACTGCTGGTATCGTATCGGTTTCGGTTGTCCAATGTTTACATGGTATCGATACCAGGTCAGTATCGTATCGTATTGGAAGGAATATCTGAGACAAAAGGCCACGCTCATGCCTATTGAGCGGTTTTGTTTTTCAAGGCTGGAGCAACAGTGACCCAAAAAAGAAACAGACTTTCACCCAAATATATATTTTTTTTTTTGTCTATCTTGTCTAATGATGTGTGGTTTGAGTAATTTAATTATGATTCAATATTCATTCATAGTAGCCTACCTTATATGGTTATTGTTCAGTTTCCACAACTCACCTAAAACGCACTTAAAAACGTTCTTAAACTGTTCTTTGACATCAATACTACAACTCGCTTAAATAACTTTTTTGTCGCCGAGGCTTCCTTACTCGCTAAAATAATTAAACTCGCTAAAACATCGAGACAACAGGGTTTTTGTTATCAGCCATTATTCCTACTCACTAGGGGACAGAGTGGGAATCCGGGGTTTTGGGTGGGGGGAAAAAGTCGCTTAAACATCGAGACAAAAGGGTAATTTCATGGGAAGATGGGTAATTTGTACAACGAATATGGGATTTTTTTTAATTATGGGGGATAAAGTACCTAAAACGGGATAAAAATCAAAATTACTGGGGATAATATCCCTATTTTAGGGATTTTATGCACATATCAGGGATAAATGCAATGCCACGTCACTAGGTTTGTTGTCGCGTCGCTATTGGCCAATGATACGTCACTTGGGTTGTTGACGCTTCGCTATTGGCCACTGGTTATGAGTCAGCAAGGCAAAGAGTAATAATTCTCATCATACCAATGGGTTGTAGACTATGTAAAATAACCTCGGAAATACTTTATTTAGGCATGTGGGGAAGGGGAGACGGGGATTATGCGGGTTCGTGGCTGCAATAAGTGTTTTGAAGTTAGGTTAGATTAGTAAGGTAAAGTATAGGTTATAGTTGGCCGGGTTGTTTATTTATGTAAAATCTACAACGTTTTATCACTATTGGAACATTGGCTTAAACAACGAGGCTACGATTTCAAAAATGCTTGCATTTTTGAAATGGTACCGTTGTTTAAGCCAATGTTCCTATAGTGATAAAACGATGTAGATTTTACATAAATAAACAGCCCGGCCAACTATAACCTATACTTTAACTTCACTAATCTAACCTACCTTCAAAGGACTTAGTGCAGCCAAGAACCCGCATAATGTCCGGCCCCCTTCACCACATGTCTTTTCATATTTGTTGTATAATGAGTTTATACAGCAAGTTTGGTTAGGGTTGGTTAGTTTAGAATAGTTTCAATACAAAATACGAATATGAATACTATTACAGCAAGTCTGCATAAGTTTAGTTACTTAACAGCAGTTCTGTCATGGCCGCCTTAGAGGCGGCCGTAAAGGCGGCCGTGGTTCTGCTGTATAGTTTCACTTTAACCAGCGCTTGTCACTTCTGCTAAGTGGTTCGGGACGGTTGTGCTACATGGTAAAAGTTTTTGCGCTGCGATTTGGTGTACTAATAGGGAGTTTGCGGGATCACATAGCTATTTTGGAGGGGATTGCTGGTGAATCCTGAGGGTTTTGCGGGTGATTCCTGGGGTAATAAGCTGTAGTGCTTCGTCTTCGTTAAACCAGTTTTCGCCAGTTTTAGTAGGTTGTTCCGAGATGGCTGACGTAATCGAACCTCAGTGCGATTCTTGCGAAGTGAAGTTTTCGGACAGTGTGCGTAGATCGCGGACTGACATTGTCTTGTTTATGGTTAATCACGGTGTGATGAGCCGGGAAAGTGCTTGCACTCGATGTGGTAATTTGTGCCCGCTGGTCGTGGACGATCTTACTTTTCGTTGTCGGCGCCGGTTGTCGATCAACAAGAAGAGAAAGCGGCAGTGCTCATTCAACGTCTCCGCGCGGGCTGGTACCTTCCTAGAGAACTCTCATTTATCTGTTGAGCAGATATTTGTCTTCGTATCTATTTTTCTTCACCTGAAACCACCTCGTCAGGCCTTCATTCGTCGGGAGCTGGGGATTGCCAGCGCGACCATTGTTGATTGGTACTCGTTCACCCGGGAGGTGTACGTCAATCACATGGTGGACCGTTCGGAGAGGATCGGTGGACCGCAGGCGGTTGTGCAAATTGACGAGGCGAAGTTCGGACGGCGGAAATATAATCGCGGGCGAATTATAGAAGGACAGTGGGTGTTCGGTGGTATTGACGTGAACACGAAGAGGACCTTCCTTGTTCCTGTGGAATCAAGGGACTCTGCGACTTTGCTGGCATTGATTCGCGAGTGGATCCTTCCTGGCACAACAATCATCAGCGACTGCTGGCGGGCGTACGACTGTCTAGGCCAGGAGGGGTTCAGGCATCTTCAAGTCAACCACTCTGTGAACTTCGTTGATCCCGAGACTGGTGCTCACACGAACAATATTGAGCGTGTTTGGAGGGAGGTGCGGGCAACCATCCCCCGGTATGGGATTCGGAAAAAACACTTTGTGGGATATTTGGCCGAATTCCAATTCAAGCAACGATATTCGCCGCTTGAACGTATCCACCATTTTTTCAAAGCTGCTGGCCAGCTTTACCCTCCACAGCGCTGATGACGTCATCGACTGTTAGAAGGCATTGATTGCGTAAGTGTTTGTACGAGTTGTTTATTGTCAGTTAGGTTCTTAATTCACTTCCTGAAGTGTGGAATTGTGTAAATTGGTGTACTTATGATTTTTTGGACATACTTAGGAAATTAATATTTTCGGTCATATAATGACTTTTCCGCCCATCAGTAAAGTCCAAAACTTCATTAAATACACTTTTTACACAATTTCACACTTCAGGAAGTGCGTTTTAGGTGAGTTGGGGAAACTGAATTTTTACCGTACTGAATATTTTTTTTTGTTACCGATTAACTTAGAAGTCTGAAAATGAGAAACCCTTGCCGACAGACCGCCACCGCCCACCACCTTAGAAGTCTGAAAATGAGAAACCCTTGCCGACAGACCGCCACCGCCCACCACCACTGCTCGAGCGAACACCATTACCGCAACAATACGTTGTACAGCTATCGGTCTCGGTGGTGTAGTGGATAGCGCACAGGACTGATAATTCGAGGGTAGCCGGTTCGAAACTCACCAGAGGCATTAACTTTTTGACTAGATTTTTTTCATTATCAGCAAGTTTGGTTGGTTTGGTTAGGTTAATTTGTCCTGATATCTTAAAAAATAAAAAAGCTATTAAATATTTAGTAAGCGTCGATTTTTGTAAAAAACGCGTGTTTCGCTCAAACAAAAATGGCCGCAAAAAAAAAAATTTGAGAGAAAAAATTGCTTAACACTTGCATGTCAATTCTATTGATACAGTTAGGCTAACATTTTTATGAAAGTTTCATGAAAATTAAAAATGTGAAGCAACAAAAAATACTTATTCATTCTGTATGATTTGTAAGTTTAATGGATTGACCCCATATTATCAGTTCCATATATTTGCAAGAAAAAAAGTCTGAAGCAAACGACTAAAATAATAGTTTGGCCGTCCTAGGGTTAAATATTGATTTTTAATCAATAGCCTAAGTTTCTATAGGCTATTTATAATTTGATAGTTTCAATCGATAGGCTATTAGCGTAGCCTACTTAGTTGAAACTGTACCCGAATCGAGATAAGGGTTCGCCACGAGAAGAGGAAAGAGCCTAGTGATGAGGCACACGCTTTCACAATTGCCTAGATAGGTCTAACACCTAGGCTAGGCCTAGGGCGCAAGTATGTAAGTAGGGCCTATAGGTTCCTAACTTACTTAGGCCTACAGCAATTTGAAGTAACTTAGGCTCCCTATTATTGTGCAAACATGCCTAGATCATCTAGGTCCCCTAGATCACCTAGGACACCATCATCACCTAGATCATACTCTGCTGATATGATATAGGCCTAATTTACTGTCCGCAAGTACAACCAAACGTCTATGACACGTTATTAAGTGACCTACTTTGAACTTATGGCCTAGCCCATCCGATGTGGTTAAGACGATCACGAAATCCATTCAAGTAAATTATTATTATTTTAACCCCAAGTTTAAAGTATAAAAAATCACGAACATGACTTTAACAGCAAGTTGTAATCTATTAGTTACTTACCTACTAGGTTAGATGCTAATGGGATGGGTTGAGTTACGGTGACACACTATTGCTAAACGAGTAATCCGTTGAAGCGATGAGGAAACAAAATGGCGATTGACGATGGACATGGAATGGAGATGGCGAAGGCGAATGGCGAATGGCGGCGATAATGAAATTGTAACATTGTAACGCGTCGCTTGGAGTCTAGTCTACTCTACTTCCTCTCTCCAACTTCCTTTACTTCCGCTGAGATATTTTTTTCACAAGAGGGTTTTTTGTAGTTAAAGGTGGCCGTGGTTTTTTTTATGATATCAAGTGAGCTTTGTCTCTCCAACTTCCTGAGATATTTTCCTCTCACAGCAACAACTCTGTTGGTGAGCCACGGCCGCTTTAACTCCCGCTTTAACACTGGAGTTAAAGGCGGCCGTGGATAGACGCTGATAAAATAGTTTATTAATCTATGGCACTTGCCTTACAGACAGAGACTCAGACTGCTCCTCATTTTAGCGAATTTCCCATATAGGGAATAAGCTATTACCGTTGGTAGGTCTCATACTTATGAGGTAAGACTTGGATCCTGGACCGATTTACTTTTTCATGTTTGATGTCCTTAAAAGCCAAAAGCAACATTCCGTTGAAATTCATTATATAAATATATATATATTTGTATATGTGTGTGTGTCCATACGCACGATAACTTGAGTAATTTTTGTCCGATTTTAATGAAATTTGGTTTAAAGGTGTAAGCGAGATAAACTTGAATGAGTTCGCGATCGGACCATGGGAACGGGGTTTTACAGGGGGTTTTATGGGGTAAAAATTGGGTTTTATCATTTTTGACCCCCAAAACACAAAATTTCCCAATTTATCTCTAAACCACATTAAAGAGCTTAAAAAACAAATAATTTAACGGTTATTGGTAACGGAAAAAATTCAAAAAATTGTAAATAAAAAATTCCCTTGTTATTCTTATGGAGAATATTGAAAATGTTGTACAGTAGTTTGCTTGCTTATGGATATATTTTGATCAAATTTATTTATTCAATATTTATTTATTTAATTTTTTTTTTTATTTTGGGCAAATTTATTTATTTTATACTAAAGCTATTAATATTTTACTAAAAAAAACACTTTATTAGTTTCAGTCTCCTTGTGGCAGCAAACCTAGGTACTCGTTAAACCTGATGTTATTTAAATAGATTTAATTGAAAATCATTCGGATAAATAGAAATTCGCTTAGTCGGCAGGTTTGCTGCGGCGGGGGTATTTTAATAAGCTTTAGTTATATTATGTATAAGTATATATATATATATATATATATATATGTATATATATATGTATATATATATATACATATTATTAATACGTCCCTGTATTCTCAGTACATTCTTCTACATGTTTTAAAAGACGCAGACATTAAAAAAGGTATTACAAAGGAGCTTTGTGGTAGATTTCTCTGAGGTTTACCGAAGGTGCCAATAACTGTAGCATTTACCCTAAACCGTTTTGGGCCACTTTCCCCCTGTACATAGTATATGGAGAAAGTATTGGTTTGTCAAAATTTTTGAGTTTGAGTGGCCATAAAGCATTTTGGCCCCCCTGAACAAAAAAATGGTTTTGAAGTGATGTCTGTGGATGTGTTAACAGAGCTACAGACCACACCTGTCGTCCAATCTTGATGAAATTTGGTACGTAGATCAGGCTACTAAACCATTATATCTCCAGGCAATTATTTCATTTTTTCAAAATATTAATTATAAAGGGGATTTTTCCATAAAACCCATAAAATTACGGAAAAATCTGGTTTCCTCGAAAACGACCTAACTATTTTGGTATAAATTGAGTATGTTATAGTTGTACATTTTGAACCAAATGGTACGGATGCTATTTCCTTAGAAAGTATGGTTCAAAAGTTATTGTAACGCATGTTATTTCCCATAAAATAACAAAATTTCGTACTTAAGGAAAAAAGCCGGTTTTGTTTAAAAATGTATGTGTTATTATGGTTTTTATAATTTATTCTAAACAAGAATAGTAAAACCCCCATTGGTAACAATTACTTATCAAAGTTATTGCAAAACTGTTGTGATTTATCCCTATAGAATATCATTATTTTATAATTACACACACAAAAACACATGCACCACCGCTTACACATGAAAAAGGTTGTTCACAAGCTTATGGGAGAAAGTATGTGTAAGTTTGCTGATGCAATTATCTCTCACTGAGTGACAGGCAACTTAATACCATTGTCTGCCGCTTGCCGCGCTCCTCGTGTCTGGCTGTCTGCGGAGGGCAAAAACACTATTAGTTCAAATATATATAAATATAATATATATATATGTGAATGTGTGTCCGTGAAGGCGATAATTTGAGCAATTTTTTGTCGATTTTGATGAAATTTGGTTTCAAGGTGTAAGGCGGGATAAACCAGAATGAGTTCGCAAACCAGCATGATTGGAACGGGGTCTTACGGGGGGTTATGGGGTAAAAATTTGTTTTTAATTTTTGAACTTCGAAACACAACAAATTTTTAGACAAAAAGCCATTAAGAAAGTTTCGGTTGCAATTTTTTCCATGTTGCAGCACTGTTTTCTTAGACTATAGACTCTAGAGCTATAAACAAATAATTAATATCGCAAGTGATTTTGTAATTTGGTTATACAGGTGTATCAGAATTCGTGTCGGATATTTTATGGTATTGTTCCTGGCTAAGAAACGAATCCAAATATCATATTTAAATTGACCAGAAGTCCTTAGTTACTCACACAGCCAGTGTGAGTGTTTTTCGCTTATTGTTTTCTAAAAAATGGTAAGGGATACGAAATTGAAACTTTGCAAAAACATTTATGACAACTAGACAAAGCTACAAAAAAATTATGAACATTTTCAAAATTCATAAAACAAAATGGCGACCATTTTAAATTTTGTTTCTTAAATTACTCAAAAACCGTTGAGTTTACAAAAAAAAATTACAAGTTGTCAGTTCCTCTAACTTTTTACACTTCCTTTGAAAGTGTAGGTACTCTCAATGTATAGGTTAGAGGTAAGAGAGGTTAGAGGTTAGAGGAACTGACTACATTGAATAAACAATAACATCTTCAGACAAAATAAAATCAGCTGATTAGTTTGTAAACAAGTGTATTGATTTTCACCGCAGCTGATTAAAAAAAATAGCGTGTTAAGTGTGAATTTTAAAAACAGTAAATAGGTGTGCAATTTTTAAGCCATCCTAATGATTGATAAAAAAATACACTTTTGGGGGTATGTAATATTTTATTATTGTTTGGAGTAATATAAAATCGTTTAAAAATAAATTTCAAAGCGCAGACAGATGCATTGTTGTGGCAGACTTAGGCCACATGCACTACTTCTAACCTCCAGCTGTCAGTATTACCATAGATAAAATTTTAATCTATGGTATTACGGTATTACTAAAGCTGCCATATCTCAGTTAATATTCATCCAATCTTAAAGATTTAGGTGTCAATCGA